TAAGTGCATGTAATACTTTTTCTACGTGCGGTCTGCGGATTTACCACCCGTGCGTGCGAGTACGTGCGACGCGCGTGCCCCGTACAGCCTATGAGCGTGCAACGTACGGACTCCGTGAGTCTAACTTCATTATTCTCACGTGCAATTGCTGTACGGACAGCGCACGAAGCACGTCAGTGCCACGCACGGTGCTTGCGTCATCCGTGCTTACTCCTCACTTCCCAGTTGACCTGCTCAATGACCACGCAGAACACACGTGCACCATACCAGGTGCTCCGCACGTGCAACGCACCTGATCTCTACAGTATATAAAGACAACTTGACGGGCGACTGCTAACTCGTCTCCAAGATGCCCAGGAAGGCTCAGAAGAAGACTACCAGACAAGACCCAAAGAAACGGGCCGCGGAAGAAATATGTATGTATGCAACGGCAGAACAGTTTTTTTTTCTTTCTGACAATGTTAGACATTTTATGAATCAAAGAGAATAAAGAAAGTTTTTTAATGCTGCTAAACGTACGCGTAACGCAGTGTGACGATCACTTCAAGTCTTGTGTAGTCTTCGATTCGTTTTGTGCATGAAGTTTATACAATATTTTCTTCGGAAACGAAGCCAAGTCAAGAAGAGAAGTAGAGGTACAAATGTAGAAGTAGTTGACTGGTTTATTAGATCTTAGCAAAAGATATCCATGCCTCCTGGTAGCCGTGGAGGGTTGAATTGCGAGGCTATTTATATAATTACAGAGGCATCAGTCTATATAATGAGTACACATTTACAGTTGTCATCATACAATATTAAAATTCGCTTTATTCAACCAAGGACGTTCTACAAGTGATAGAACGTCCTTGGTTCAACAGTACAAATTCTAAGAACAATTTCTTTGTTTTAAACTTTTAGAAAGGGAACCAGGTTATGGTAATAAGATTATGATAATGCATAAGAACTAATTATAAGAGCTAATTATTGATTCGCCACGGAGCCCTGGTAATAAAACCAAATAACCTGAAATTTGGTACGGATATACCTTGGACATATCTACAAAGCCTAATTTTGGCTGTTTTCAGACGAAAAATGTACATTTTTGGCTCCCGTGCCCTAAAATCAAATCAGAATGACCTGAAATTTGGTACACGTGTCCAAATAGTCATTCACGCTTTTGACATACACTGATATCCCCCCTAAAGTGCCCCAACAGGTGCTATATGGGGGTGTAGCCGGGGCTTGTATAACATCTTAGAGGCCCGGCAAAGATGAAGATGAAGATTTTGATTTGTGTAAAATAGGGCTTCTTGGCTAACTTCGGACAAAAAAGCACTTTTTTGGCTCCTGTGCCATAATATTAAATCCAAATGACCTGGAATTTGGTTTGGGGATACCTTGGACACATGTCTAAAGAATGTCATTCACGCTTTTAACATACACTACTTTTACATTGTGTAAAATAAGGCTTTTTTTTGCTATTTTTGGACAGAAAA